GTTTCACGAGAATGGTCTCTTTCCCTTGACTGGTGGTCTTGGGAAATAACAAAGCCTCTGAGGTGACCCTGTTTGATAAGGTCCTCAAGCTTATCCCTCAGCGCCGAGCATTCTTCGGTGGAGTGTCCCCTATTTCGGTGGAATCGGCATGTTTTGGCTTTGTCGGCTCTGGGAGGTGTATTCACCCTTTTCGGCATCACTAGGATCTTGGATGCTAGGGCCTGCTCCATTACCTTTGCTCTACTCGTGTTGAGGGGAGTGTACGTTGTGTAACGCGGTCCCCTCGAGGGGCGCGCGTTTGAGGGCTCGGCATTGGTCTTTTTGGCTAGCTCCCGACCAGTTTCCTTTCGGCTGTAGTTCTCCTCGGCCCTAGCCTGATTTCTCGTTTCTGCCAGCTCTTCCGTTTGCATATATTTTTCAGCTCGGCATCGGAGGTCATTCATATCAATGGGTGGCTTCTTGCACAAGCTGTTCACAAATGGCCCCGGCCTGAGGGCAGTGCTCAGCCGGTCCATCGCCACGGCCGGGTTGAGATCGCCGATCTCCATGACAATCTTGTTGAATCGGTCCATAAAGCTTCTCAGACTCTCCTTCTTCTCTTGATGAACCCCCGCCAAGGCTAACGAGGTCGTCCTATAAGGCTTGCTCGTCGCGAACTAAAGAGTGAATTGGGATGTCAACTCGTTGAACGAGTCGATGGAAGCACTCGGCAGCCTCGTGAACCAACTCAGGGCCCTTCCTTTCAGCGAAGTGGGGAATATTCGGCATAGAGCCGAGTCATCTTGAGTGGAGAGGGTCGCCTGTGTCAAGAAGACGTTCAAGTGTTCATCGGGGTCGGTAGACCCATCGTATTTCTCGATATGGAGGCTTTTCCAATGGTCCTGTAAAGTCACCTCCATTATTCTTCGGGAAAAAGAATGCCTTAAGGAGTGAACGGTGGTGTCGGCCTTGTTTCCTATCAGAGAAGTTATTGGTGTTCGGGTAATATGGTCGGTTGGGGCGTGGTAGGCTGATTCTTCTGCGAGTGTAGGGGTAGACGGCACGTAAGTTTGGTTCAGGTTTCGGAGCTCGGCATTTTGTCGTCGTAGCTCTTCCAGCTCTCGGGCATCAGCTTCCCTTTGTCTTCGGATGGCCGCCATTTCCTCGTGCAATGCGCGTAGGTCATCTCGGAGGTCGGGTTGAGCTTGACCAGTAGTCGGCTGAACCTGCTGCACGACAGGCTCCGGTTGGGTTTGAGGCATTCCGTACGGGTAACGCTCTTGGTTATTCATGGCGGGATTACTTTCAGGGTTAGGGATCGGTTGAGTCGTTGTTGATTGTCCTTTACGCGTAACTACCATAACTCGGTCTCAGTCGTAGAGTTCAAAAAGGGGCTGAAACGTCTCTTCGGCCCCACGGTGGGCGCCAAATGTTCCTGTGTTAGGACACACTTCAATTATCCTAGTTAAAACGGGTCGGGTCTCTGATGTGTTCTTCTTGTCCAGGTCCGAGTAGTCCGAAGTCAAGTGGGGGGGGTGCCTGCAAAGACACTCCGATGCTCAAGTCAGTGTTCAGCGTAATAAATGCGGTAGTTGAGAATTGAATACATACCTCGTTGGGGTCCTATTTATAGTAGTTCTTATTGGGCCGCGATTAGGGACTGTGCCCCGGAAAATTAGGGGTCTAATCCTATGCATTATGTTAATTAATCTCTCCGTAACCATCTTGATGAGGGTGACGAACTCGGCCGACGCTGCCGACACGTTTCGCCTCATCTGAGAGTGGTCGGCGGTTTCGGGTGATCGGAATATGTGTTCGCGAGTTCGGGTACTCGGCATAAGTAACGGTCTCGGGTATTCGGGCAAGTCGGCCACCATACGGTATAGAAAAGAATCTAGGACATGAACTAGATGACGATGGAGGACACAAGAATTGAGCAAAGGTTGAGGACGAATAGCAGCTACTTGAATGAAGGTAGAGGAGCAGCGAAGACGGTTGAAGAAGCAACAAAGGTATTATGTGGAGAAGTAGTGCCTGGTAGAGGAGCACACGATGGAGACGATCAACAATGAAGCATGAATATGAATTATGTGATTTTGGGTCTTAAAAACAACTTTTTTGTGACACGTGCAATTTCACCCATTATAGAATGTTTTTTTTTTCTCAGGCTCACTAACACATTATATAAGAGGTGTCAATCTACCTTATAAAAAGAATATTTTATGACGTATAAGTTAACATGTCATAAAATATTTATATATATTTATAAATATATATCATTGTATCACTTTTTATGTCAAGTGTTACATATTATGTGGATAACACCCGACATAAAAAGTGCATAAAAGAATTCTCTTTTACATTAACGAAAGATCTTGTAATATAATTGATAACATTACCGATCTTGTAGCCGTACCGGTATCACTTATTTGGTATATATCGATGGTTTAAAGGTGTCGTTGATTTGTTGCATATGTTGGATGCTATAAAGTTCCATTCTTGGTGTTGGCAGAGTGGTGTTTTAGCTATCAGTGGTGTTTTATTAATGTCGTTGGTTGTTTGAATGAGTTGAAGTACATCTTTATCAACTTAATAAAAAAAATCTCCTTAGAATAAAAAGAGTAAATTCATTTAAATCCATAGATATTGAACAGAAAAAAAAAAAAACCTTTAATTACTTAAAACTTTAATACACATTTTCCATACAACTGACATTGGATGGTAACAACAAAGGTAGCCACTTGTCTTTACAACTAGTGATAACCTTTTATTTTGGAAAAGGAAAAATCACAAATAACACTTTTGTAACAAAATACAACTACATTTGCGTGGTTTTTGTGTAGCCACTTATCTTGGTAATTTTAAGAATGCATTTTAAATGATAGGCCTGATCCACTTAATTTTTCTTCAATGATTTTGGACAACTTTTGTATCATAGAAGGGGAAAAGTAGTTCACCCAATCTCCTATTTCAGCCTTTCGAAAAAAGAACTTATTATCGATCACTGTGTCTAATTTTTCATACATGTTCACTTCCAAAGCCTTCATCTTCTCAAAGCTGCATAGCTTCATTATGCTTTCAATCATTCCATCACTTTCTTCCTCCTTGGTGAAAGGACAACCCAAAAATTCTGCAATGCTTTTCACATGAAAATTGACATCTTCTTTAAGATCCTCATACTTTAAGAACAAAACTTTGTTTGGTCTAGCAATGCTCTCCTTCCAGTAACCTAACATATGGCTCCACCATGGACCAAATGAACTTATCCCATTACAATACATTTCAAAAGCTTCTTCTAGTGCTAAAAACCTAGGCCTTATTTTATTGAAGTAAGTCCATGCTGAAACAAAAGTGTCAAATGGGTTTCTACATATATATATTATCCTACAACTAGACTCAATGATTGACATGGGTAATGAAGTGAGTGGAGTGTGGGTACTAAAATGTCTTGGCTCAGTCATTTTTGATAGGTGTAGAATTGGGTCATGGACATCATCACAAAAGATCTTAAATTCAAGGGAACGCACAAGTTTATGAGGATTGGAAGTAAGCAATGGATGGTTCTCTATGGAGAAGTGTTGGCGGTTGACAATGGCAAAAGAAAGTGCTATCAACCAGGTAGTGCCTGTTTTTGGAAAGCTAGCAACAATAACATCACTGTCTTTTGCTTGAAAGTGTTTTTGAAAATTGATAAGACCTTGAATAGCAGCACCTGGGCACCAAAATTCTTGAAATAGATAGAGATAGGAGTATGACAAACCCCTCTCTCTGTGAAGGTTGAAAGTTAGATTTTCTTCTTCGTTTGCATGTTGCACGCCCGTTAAAGCCATTTGAGTTGCTAGAATATGGATAGTAGTTTATTAGTAATTTGATGGGAATAGGTCAGCATGGGGTAGCTTTTATAGCATCAACCATTGGTTCAAATTCAAGAAAATAATTAAATTTGTAGCATTATTTATTTTTGACAAATGCCAATAATTAATAACATACATCGGTATTTTTTTATATATGTAAAAATTATAATAATAATAATAATAATAGAGGATGATTATAATAATACTGATGTAATTTTTACTAAATATTATACTATCGTTTAATAATTATATATTAAATGTGAATTTTTTAAATCCAACTGTTATAGATTGAAAGTTCATATCACTTTATATGTGTAATCAAAGTATTTATATTTTAATATATTTTGAAATAAATATATTATATAAATTTTATTTTATAAGAATGAAATATCAAATTATCTTGAATTAATATAAAATTTTGTATATATAATCTAAAAATAAAAAAACTTTCAATTTAATAGTTGAATTTACAAAATTTACATTAAATATAAAGTTATTGAGCGATATAATACTTAATAAAAATTACACTACTATTATTATAACTCTCCTCATAATAATAATAATAACTGAACTTAATATTTTATATATACTTTTATTACTAAACCAACTTTAGAGATTAATGATAGACATAAGTGATACAGAAATTTTGATTTTTTTTTATAATTAAGAAAAAAAAATTTGTAACGATTATAATTATTTAATAGTGAGATTTTATTTTTATACTTATATTTGGATATTTTAGAGCGTGTAAGTTCTTACAAATCGTTAAAGTTCTTGCACATTAAATTTGTGCTTAATGTGGTAAACAAAATCTCGATCACGATAGGCATGTCAGTTTAACATATGCCATTAGCCATTGCTATTGTGTTGAATTCAACTTCTATACAACAGCTATTATTTTGCTGACGAAGCTTTATCGCAGTTTAATGGGTGGGGAGCATAATAATTATATCAGGTATCAATGTACTGTATAAGTTGTTACGGACTCCTTTTAATATCCATTGGGTTGCACACGTGTTTTAGGGTTTAAACTTTTTCAGATTTTGTTTTGGTGATTGCTGTTTGGTCTGACAAGAATTTGTAACCAGGATTTTAGTCTTCGAAATGTACAGACAAATTTATTATAAGTAAATTTTATAATAAATTATATATAAATAAATATTATATTTAAATATATAAATTATATTTAAAATTAATATGTAAAAATATTTTTAGATATATAAATTATATTTTAAATTTATGATAAATAATTTGTATAATAATAGAAAGTTATTTTTATTTATTTATAATTTATTTTAAAATATTAGTATTTATTTTATAAATAATTATAATAAATAAAAATTGAATTAGATAAGAAGTTAAAAAAAGTTCTATAAATTTTCTTATTAAAAAAAAATCTCCTAAAAATACTCTCTCACGCGAAATAAAAATTTATATTTAATATATATAAGTTGATATTTGTGACCTATTTATAAACTATTCCATTTTTTTAAATTTAAAATAAAAAATAAAAAATAACACTCTATCTTATTACATAGATAGCAAGTTAAGATTTCTTAGACAAAATATGAAACGATTAGTTGAAATTCAGTGTCATACTCATTTCTCCATTTTATATCAATAAAGTTTCATTTCAATCAATAATATTGTTTGTTTTGCTTATAAAATTTTTAACTTTTGTCATCATTGAATGTTATGTTTCTCGGTTTATTTAATGGAGTTTTTAAAGGAAGTTAATTTTGTCGAGAAATTTCAATTTACAACTAATGAAAACTTACTAATAAATACCTATTTACTTTTCACTTGTACAAATATTTTTTCCAGATTTTTTTCTCTTGTGGTTCGGAAATAAATACTATTATGTGTTGTATAGTAAATATAATTTACAATTTGAGTTCAAACAAATGATTGATTCGATAAAGTCACTGTTCAAAGTTTAATAATTTAATTATAATCAAATGAATATTAATAAATAATAAAATAGTTAAGAAATACATGACAAATTAAAATGTAATATAAAAATACCCTTTTAGATTAAAAAAAAAAAGGAATTGTACCTGTCTGAGGATACACTCGTAATCTTCGAGTAGGTAGAGGCCGAACGAGAGATCCAGGTGGATGCTTCAGAGGGGGGAGGTACCTGCAAAAGGTACTCCAACGCTCAAGTTAGGACAAGCACGATTTTCTAGAATAGTAAGATGAATAGTGACATACCTCGTTACGTGTGACCTATTTATAATACCTGACATGGGCCTGAGCATGGTGGGTCTTCTCTGACATTTACCAAATTCGGTAATACGATGTTAATCGGCGGGTTATGCCTTAATTGTGTCTTGTCCCTTGTTAATCATGATCGTCATTCTAATTATTCTGTCTCTGTTGACCTTCGGCCGAGCCGATACGGAACGGCCGAGACGTCGTCTTCGTCGTCTGGCCGAGCCGATAAGGGAAGGATACGGTTCTCGGTCCACATGGTCGATCCACGTGGCCGACAGGGTCCTTTCAGTACACAAGGCTGCGTCAATATCTGATAGGACATGTCGTGCCAGTCCACGTGGCTGATCCACGTGGCCGACAGGGTCCTTCCGGTATACAAGCCCCCCAGCCTTAAGGAGTGTAACGACGTAAAGGGTAAGAATGACTTTGTAGTTGTGATGGTTGGGTTTGAGTGTGGAATTGTAACCGTTAAGTATTAATCATAGGGACGTGGGGGGTTATAACCGTTGAGTAATAAACGTGGGAACGTGAAAAGTTATAACCATTGAGCACTAAACGTGGGAACGTGAAGGGTTGTAACCGTTGGGTTTGTAACCATTGGACATTAATGATGGGGGATTTGAAAAGTTGTGGCTTGTGAGTCGTTGGATCAAACTGATCCAACGGTTCGTAGGGGTGTGACGGTTGGTGAGCGGCTCCTAAGAGTGCTATAAATAGGGGTGGTGGGGACCCATTCGATGCGTTCACTTGTTCCTGTCTTCATCTGCTCCGAGCCGATACAAGTTGATCTTGAGCATTAGCTACCAACCGAGATCGACTTCATTTCAAGGTACGTTTCTATGGCTGATTTAGAAAGGGATATGGATGATAGGGTTTCACAAACTGGCTCTTCTGGGAGTGGTAGGACTGGACCTGCCGATACGGGCTCGGAGGACGAAGTCTCTTCGCTCGTCGTGTCGGAAGGTCGGTCGAGCACGCGTAAAGTCGGCTCGACTACTCGCAGCTTCAGCCCCGTACAAGTCCCCGATTATAGATGGGTGCATGGGGAAGTGGGTAGCGTCTCTTCTCGTTATACCGACAAGAGTGCCATCACTCTGCTGTTCGATGCCGAGGACTTCGTCACCCTTCTGGAGAATGAGGTGCCGTCTGGTTTTTTCTTCGAGCCGTGAAGAAATGACGGATCGCCAGATTTTGACTTTGTCTTCTTGGGCCGAGAGAGGTCCAAATACAACTTCTTTTTCATGTATGACTACTTGTTTCGTGATTTGAGGGTGACTCTTCCTTTTGAGAAGTTTTTTATGGGTGTACTTCGGCTGCTTAATGTGGCGCCGTCGACACAGCTTCATCCGAACACTTGGGCCGCTATGCAAGGATTTCGGCAATTGTGTATAGCTCTTTGCATCGAGCCGACGCCCCACTTGTTCTTGTACTATTACGCCTCTCGGCCGAAGAGGAAGGCGAAGTGTTATCTTTGTTCCGGACGGAGCATTGCTTGTTACATCCATTCACCACGTCCTACAAAGGGTTTAAAGTGGGGTTTTTTAAGGTGATGATCCGGCCCGAAAACGGCAACAAATATTTCTTCGATGCGGAGGGTAAGGCATTGTTCCCTCTATATTGGACTCGGGCGCCCAGGAAGTACAATGTGGTGTCTAAGTCTAAAATGTCTCGAGAGGAGCAAGCAGACTTGAAAATATTATAGAAGTTACGTTGGCCCTTGCCGTGCCGGGAACTCGTTCGGCTAACGAAGTCGTCGCAGCCGTTTGATGATTTAATCGGTATAGCATCTGTCCTATATTTAAATTCATGCGTTGTCATTGATTTTGACTAATTTGTGTGTAGGTATCATGACGAGCTGCAGGAGTGATGACTTGGATATCCGCAATTTGATCCGGGGCCGAGCTCCGATGCCGACACTGACTAGGCATGGGGGAAATCGGACTCCGGCACAAGAGACGTCTCGGCCCCAACCTCAGAAAGATAAGCAATCCCAAGACGCTCACAAGGCGAGGGTTGTTAAGAGGAAGGTCGATGAAGCAAGGGTCGAGGCCGAAGCGAGGAAGCAGAAGCAACAAAGGTTGCCGGTGTTGGTGGCTCCTCAGGGACTGGTGATTCCCAACTTTTTGGCTTCCAACATTAGTGCTTAGGAGCATCTGAGCAAAGACCTGACATCGGAATCGGGTCAGGCGATGCTGGGGCATATGAGTGCGGCCAACAAGTGGACCTTTTTCTGCGAGTTTCAAGCTCAATCCTTGGCTTTGGCTCAAAGCATCATGATGCAGTCGAGTGTCGAGGCTGAGAGTCTGCGCCGACAGCTTGCTGAGTTGAAAAAGTCTGTGCAGGAAGCCTTGGCTGCTCTGTCCGAGGCGCAGTCGAACGAGAAGGAGTTCGAAGCCGAGATGGTCCGCCGTGGTCGTCAGAATGATGACCTGATGCTCCAAGTGCAACGGCTGGAAAATGCGTTGAAGGCTGAGGCCGAGAAATCAACGAAGCTGGCCAGCGAGTTGGACGCCGAGAAGAAATCCTACGGGGCGTATCGAGAGAGGGCTAGGCGCAAGGTTCTATCTCAGCATGAAGCCGGCTTCGCACAGGCGACATGCCAAGCTGGGCATTTCGGAAGCCTTCCTTCGGACTTCTAGTTTGATATGGCCATGGATTTCTATCAGGGGAAATATGTCAATCTGACCCAAATCCCCCCGAATGAACAGCTGGACGCCGAAGCTCCTGTTCGCCATCAGGCCGGACCGAGTGGTGTAGAACAGGTGCATGATGAAGTGGC